GGGGAGACGGCTCCGTGTCCCTGGGGGGGCTGGGCAGCCCCTCAGGGGGGTCTGAGGTCGGGGGAGCCCCTTCCCCAGTGGCGTTTTGCCAACTGATCACCCGAAAGCTCTTCCTGCCCCTTGACATCCGATACTGCGGGTCCGAACAATGCTTTCCCCGTTCCCAGAAGCCGGCTGCTTCGTCCTTTTTATCACTGAAATTCTGCTCCTGACAGGTTTCTTTGCCTCCCGTAGCGTTCCTGAAATGCGGCGCTGACCTCCAGCCGGTTACTGGCCCCGGCCTTCCTCCAGCATGGCAGCCCGCTTGGTGCGACGCTGCTGCTGGCGGCACTTGGGTGCCTTCGTCTCTGCTCCCTCGGCGGTCCCGGCCTCGCTGCTGGCGCCGGCTGGGAAGGTGACGATGGCGAGAGCTCTGCTTCAAGCGCCTTTCGCTTCATTTCATACTCCGAGCCCTTCCGGCTGGGCGGACGGCTTCTCGGTCAGAGAGCAGGTGGAGGAGAGCCGAAACGCAGAGCAGAGAGTGGTGGGGGAGCTGATAGAGACGGCCACAAGTCCCCAGGAACTCTTCCAGCTGAGCCAGCTCCACGTTCTCAACAGCAACGAGGCCTCGCTGATAATTACGCAGCTTTCCCGGCTCGTGGCGGAAAAAAAGCTGGAAAGGGAGAGCATTCTGCGGGACGAACGGTTCCAGCAGCTCGTCGGCATCACGGATTCTCAGGTCGGTTCCCTCCTCGCAGCGCTTGGGGGCAAGAACGCGAGGCGGCGAGCGGGCGGCGCTCCTGGGGTCGAACCGGCTGCTCCTTCGGGGTTTTAGTTTGCCTTTCCGCGTAGAAACTGAAAGTTGAGGGGATCGGGAGGTGGAATTGTCACCTCGAGGCAGGGTGCCTGATTATTTCTGTCTAAAAGCGCTGCTTTTTGGACCAGATCATCCTCCTGAAACGCTGCCTTGCTTCCCTCCCCGTGATTTTTCAGTTTTCTCAGTGAGATAAAGCTGCATTTTGCCAGTTAGTGGCAAAGACAAAGCAGAGCCGCGCAGCCCGAGAGTGCAGAAGCCGCCGGCTAAGATGGGGCATTGCCGGCCCAGCCATCCAGCCTGGCTTGGAATGTTTCCAGGGATGGGACATCTCCCACCTCGCTGGGCAACCTGGGCCAGGGCCTCACCACCCTCCCAGGGAAGAATTTTTTCCTTCTGCCTCATCTAAATCTCCCCTCTCTCAGCTTGAAACCATCACCCCTTGTCCTATCACTCCATGCCCTTGTCCCAGCCGCTCTCCAGCTATCTCGCAGCCCCTCCAGGCACTGGCAGCCGCTCTAAGGTCACCCCGGAGCCTTCTCTTCTCCAGGCTGAGCAGCCCCAACTCCCTCAGCCTGTCCTCGTAGGAGAGGT